TTGCCATATCCAGGAAGAAGAACTACAATGACATCAGAAAAGATATTGCACATCTCGCGAAAGGATGGAAGTTTACTAAGATGGATACTATCTCATTGCTATGAGAGCTAAATGACTACATCAACCGGAGTGGAGTCTTCACCAACAATTCAAACAGGTATTTTGCGATAGATTTTTGGCAGTCTGTTGTAGGTGCAAAAACTTTGCGTGTGTTTGCAATGAAACTTTTTTCTATCACTCCTCATAATGCTGCAGTGGAGAGATTATTTTCGCAGCTGACATTGTCCAAGACAAAAATTCGAAACCGCATGACAGTGGAACGCATGAAAATGCTTTCCATCGTCAGATCCAGTACTAAAGAGCATTCAAAACCCTCTTCAACGTCATCTCGATCATTGGCACTAGATCAAGAGAGTTCCTTCATCATAACACTTGAAGACGATGAAGATTTTTTGATTAGGCCAGCGGATGAATTATCTTTGAAAGATCTGGAGCTTACTTTGGACGATAATGATGACTTTCAGGGGGATTTTGATATGTATTTTGATTTTGCCAAATACCAACTAGAGTCATCTCCAAATGTCACCATGGCTGCAGTGGAGAAAGAGGTGGAAAAAACAGATGAAGAAGATTGGAGTGTAGATGATTTATTATCTTGACTTTTTTGTATTATTCTTCATGGCGAAAGTCAGATTCTCTATAATTCACACATGTTGACACTTCAATTTACTAAGTGTTTGTTTGGTTTCATTGTTTTATTTAGTTCATAATTGTATACTGTGAGATGACTATACAGTATCTGAGATGGGTTATACTTGACTTAATCCTCGTTTATGCTTCTTTGGTTTGATCTACAAGTGAGAAACGAGCTTGATTGATCACAAGTTAGATCTTTTTTGAAAAGAATACATTGTGTTCAGTAAACGCATCGCAAGTGGCCTCCACTTTCAGATCTAAGTCTCTACACTTGTACTGCTTTTTAGCCGATTTGTGATTACACCATGGTAAACAGTACAAGAAGTTGTTTTTGCTCTTCTATAGTTGATTAAACCCGCTCATATGGCTTTTGTTCACTGCAGCGAAGCACACTCATCACACACTTTATCAAAGGAACAAGCCGGGAGTTTCGTAGTTGCGGAATCAAATTTTCTTACTGTATGTTCAGCAGATCAGTATACGACTTGCCATTGACAAATGTATGTTGGGATCACATCCTAAATTACTCTTGTTCCTGAACGTGGCTGGGCCACCTCCTTTCGAAGTTACCCAGTATACTTCTACCACTTTACTACCATAGTCTGTTTAACTGACTAAACTCTATTTGTAGCTAACTTTAAAAGCATTCCTCCTTAGGGTGGACATTATAGCAGCATGGCAGAAAGATTCAGTTGCAAAACTCTGCTTCAACTTAAATTGAATTGGAACTGTATTCAAATCTGCCTGTTAGTGACTAAGATAGCGGGATGAGGTGTTTCTGCTTGACTTTTTGAAAGATAATTTGTGAGGTTTCGTTTTCTATTAATATCAGCTTGTATTTTAGAACGGTTTGTGATACAGTGAACACAGAATCTAACTATTTGCTAAACGTTATCTTGGCAAACTCGGTGTTGATTTTGTTGAAACTCGTGGACTTTTTGTAGAGGTTGAACTTTGCTGTAGACAACTCAGCTTCACTTCTTTTTTCTGAATGTACAAAGTTATGGGGAGCCTGTACTTTTTCCAATTTATTGCCTTCTGTTAAGATTGCAGTTATACCCCCATACGGGACTAAACTAACACGGTTTCTTCTTGATGACAGTTAATATTCTTTGTCGAAGACTGAAGGATCAGGCAATGCAAATGATGGAGCCTAGTTGTGCAATTCTAGCACTGTATGCAACGATTCTCAAATCTCAGCCTTCCTCCGAGTATCTTACACCACTTCATGCCAATTATCTCCTGCTATGCTTACTATCGAAGTGCTACAAAGCAGGCCTTAATATTTTGGAAGATGATATTTTTGAGATTGATCAGAAAAGAACTGGTCTAATGTCACGTGATTTTCTTCTGCCTTGTTACTACGAGTAATTTTCTTTCAGTAGTAGCACGTTTAGAATCTCATCCATAGTATCAGGGATGTTCAATTTTGATAGATAAGGTTCAGAGACAACATAGTTTCTGACACGCCTGTAGGTGTAATCCAGGAAGAAAGTAATATAGAGTACGCACTGGTTACTACTTTTTAGATTCCAGTGTCTTGTACAGCTAATTGTAAAGGCAAAGTTGGCTGTATTCATACTCTTCATTGTTGTCATTTCTCCTCCCTCGAGCCCTTGTTTCATGTGTCCTGCATCTCCGTGATTTATCGGTCATCATTTGCAGGTTGGTTGGTTTATCTTAATTCATTGAATAAGTACACATCTACTAGTAATTATTTACTCCTGCACTTCTGAAGACCAAAAATTAAATATTAAGGACTAAAGCAGAAAGGAAGGTAAGACCCCATAAGCAATACAGGGAAACCAAATGAGTAAGATGGGGTTTGGCACCAATAGCATTATCAAAAAGTTTTCACCGAAAATACTAATCCTACAAGTCCTTTGAGTTCTGATGAGCATAATGGAGCAAAATAGTCTTCATTGCATTTGCACTCAAGTTGAACAGGTCGCATGACAAAATGAAAAGTTGGACATTAAGAGCATACCTGGGTCTGAGGAATTAAGGGCGTGTACACATATGTATATTGTGTATAACGTGCAATGTTCTATAAGTTATAGAGCATCGCACAGTATATATTTACTATAATTAATTGTGTATTAATTGTATTTTAGTTAAAGTTTATTATCCTATGTATATTCATGTATTATACATACATTTATGTATACTTAATATATACTAGAACTATACGTATTGTGATACGGGCATGCCTTTTGATATTCAAAGGGGGCACGGGCATGCCGCAAAAATTTTGCCGTGCCTCCAACCCTACGTGGTACACATTGAAAAGACCAAATATGGAAGTGAATGAAAGGCATAACTGACTCGTCTCTGTCTGAACTCTTAAATCTACAATCAGCTCTGGAAAGCAATAACACAAATATACTGTCATCCGATGCTTCCCTTGGGATTCTTCAGTCACATGGTTTGAAGCTAATATACAAAACACAGCGCGGTAACAAATGCATCAAGTCATACTAATGGGAACAAAAATTACTTACACTTCTAATTAGAACTCGAGTAGGCACACAGTCAAGAGGAAAAAATGTAATGTAGGACTCCATCAAAAAGTCAGAGTGGGACTGAAGTATTATTTATCGGTTCAAGTTCATACTATTTGGATTCCAAAACCTCTTATTAAAATGCATATAATGAATTCAAACCAGCGTGCTCCACATTAATACGAATTATGTGAGAAATACACTACTGATTGTCGAAGAACCCACTCGAACTGGAGTGGGTGACACCAATTTTATTATAAGATGATTTGGTGTATAGTGTAAACTGGCGGCCGAAATATCACTCACCTAAATTAATGTGAATTTTAATAATAAGATACAAAATATAATGACATCACTGATGATATGGTAGACATCACTGATGGAGGTTCTGAGTGTTACTCGAATCAGTACCAACGATGAACCGTAATTGACAGAAGTGAAAGCATAAGTGGGACGGGCAGCCTCGAAGAAAGCTGGGGGAGGGAAGCTTTCCTCAAGGCCATGTCAAAGTGCACCAACCTGGCAGAACCAGAGCAGGACAAGTGTCGACATCTGAGCATAGCCCACGTGGCATTTTCCGGAAATCCTCTACATGGCTGCATGACAACATCGAGTCAACAGATGACGTCGGAAGAGGAGACCGTGGGCCAGTGGCCTCAGTTCTTACCCTCCATAACTGCAAACCCTGGTTCACTAGACTTGCTATCGTCTTGGCCCCTTCAAAATATAATATATCAATAATCGAAGGAGGCAAACACATCGTTTTCCTTAAAGATTCGAGAATCTAGCTCATCACAATATTCAGAAGTGTTCCATTTCCAGTATCCTGTCACTTTGATTAACATGGTTTTGCAGCCGCAGTCGGACTTGAGGTTCGGTCTTTCCATTCGTTGCGATGTATAAAATAACCAGAAATCATATCTCAGCGCTCCTTATTCATTTGAAAATCTATAACTTGATATTTTGTGATATACAATGTGAAATTAATTTATTTGAGGAGTTTGAATACTATGCCTGAAAGGCACCCTTCTCCTTGCCTGCTGGCTTAAGAGACTAATCCAAGCACGGCTATTCGCGTTTATATTTATGAGAGAACCAGGAGTGTTATCTCAACGAAACCCAATGCAAAGTGGGACTACTACCTTGATCACGGAACAGCCGAAATCTCGAAGTACCTTCTTGTTGATACATTTACCGCTCTCACATTACTTTGCTAATTTTATTCACTTTCATCCCTTTATTTAGCGTTTCTAATTTTTTTTTAATTAGCATCTAAGGCCCGCACAGTGGAATTCGGTACTCGTTGTAGCATAGAGAACACATCAGAAGTAAGTGTGAAGTTCTTTACTCTAAGTGCCAAATCGACGTTTATATGGCATTTGTATATTTCAGGTGTCGGATACCTGGTTCATTCAAGCCCTCTACTTGTTCATCGTTCAACCGTTTATTCCACTGACCTCGCGGAGTGGGACAACATCCAAGGATCAGATGATTGGGCAGACCTCTGACACGTGGCACACCGGGCGGGGCGGGCCGAGATGACGGGGACCGGCAGACTCTTGACGTGGCATGTGATGACATGGCAAGGCATGGCCGAAGGGCCGAAAGCCGGAAGCTGGCCTCTCGCTGGCCTCTCGCTCGCAACGTCGCTTTTACCGCCTCCGGTTCCTCTTCGTCCCCCCATCCGCTTTCACTCACTGACAGGCAAACAGACAGAGACTCGAGATTCGGGCAGCGGGTAGATTCTCAACGCGCTGCGATCGAGGTAAGTGTCTATCGATCGATCGATCGATTTATCTATGCAAGCGAATTCCATCCGGGGAACGTGAAATCGTCGAGTGTTTCAACTCTTCGTAGATTGAATGTCGATTCGTGAGAAAAGAGTTCGCGCTCGGTTTGGTCTGGATTTGAGGAAGCGAGGGAAGAAGGAAGCAATGGGTGCTCGATTTTATCTGCAGTCTGGGAGTAGAGATTGGTAGTGAGGGAGGTCGATTAGCCTCGTTCTGCTTTGGGGTTCTGTTTGTTGGCTCCGAGGGAGCTGCTAGGACCTCAGGAGCCATTTGGAAGATTGCCTGTTTTTCCTACGAGCCCCGTGCTGCCGGTCGGGCGGTGTCGATGCATAATTCAAAATCTTTGTTCATAAATATTTCCTTCACGTTCATCTCGAGTTGGATTCAAGTACTGTATACGCCTCATGTCTGCTGAATCTGCTGCACCCTTTTGCATTGTAGTCTGCGTGCGTCTTCAGGAGCTATGGACGAGCGATTTGAGCTCTCAAGCTCTTCGTCCTCCGTGCCTCTCTTATTGACGAGATGGTTTCTGAATTGACGGTTGTTTCAGTCTGCGGGAATTTTCATGGAGATTTCAGTCTTGGGTCGAATTCTGAGTGGGTGTGTCTGTGCTGGACATGCAGACAGGGGATCGGCTGATCGAGCCTTTGTTCGTTTGGGTTTACGCCTTCTTCGTCGTGGGGATCACCATGGCCTTCTTCGCGAGCCGGACGGTGAGGGCGGGGCAATTGCTGGGAGCCAGGCTGCGCGCAGCCAGCCCTCTGACCGCAGCAGCTGCAGCATCCGCCTCCCGTGTCCGAGACACCGCAGAACTTGCTGCTGCAGAGGCCGGACCCCAACAAAACAAGAAGGAATTCGCGTTCGCAGCCATCACTGCCTGTGTCGGAGCTGCTGCCTTCTTCTCAGCCTGGGGCCCTGGGGTACCACTCGCACACTCGCACTTCCCTCCATCGTCGAAGTAGCTCGCTAGGTTTTCTTTGTTGGCCTTGTCACTGCTGATTGCAGCTCCAGAAGCCCCAGCAGGAGGCAAGTGGCAAGTGGCAAGCTTGCCATTCTTTCAAGGTTTTCCAGTATCAGTCCTTCAGATATTTAGAGCTGCTTGTCGAGCCTTTGAATTTGTGGCAAATCTTCTGATCCTCGTGCACTGCTTGCTCTGGCAGTACTCGTCACAGCCAGTTCTTCTTCAAGAAGCACCGAAAGGAGGTGATTACTTTTATAAACACGTTCAACATTTTGGTGAAATTACTAAGATTGTGTTTGTATTAAGTTCTCCACCTGCTTATCGGATGCCTGTTTCTGCGGGAGTGCGAATTGAAGCTAGTTTCTAGGGCTGGCTCGGGGTAAAATCGCAACTGTCAGCGTTTAATTACGTGAAGGATGCCAACTGCTGTAACATTTCCATGTTCTGTCCTGTCCAACCTTCTTGCCTTGAGCTGAGTACGAGTTTCGTGTGGCTGTAGCATGGCTCATACATCGAGTATGGCGTTCTGACAGCGCTTGGTTATTACAGCTTTGGACCCCAACACCTGGATTCACTTCAAGTTGGAAAAAATTGAACAGCTCAGCCACAATACCAAAATGCTCAGGTCATATATCTGTAAACTTACAGTGTTATCCATCGCCTGCCGAGCTTGCATGTTCTGAAGATTCCGTGCTTTTCTGTCTCGTTGTGAAGAACTGGAGGCAAGAGGCTCTTTTCGAGAATTTGTTGTGGGCAATGGCTTCATAACTGCAGTTCACATCATGCAATATGTCTCCCTTATGGATGTCCCTTCTGTAATGAAGCGTCGTCAGTGGTGAAAGTTGTCTTTTGAGGACAGTCGATCCATTTGCGTTTAATGTGACGAGCTAAAATGTAATATTGAATGTATCTCCGTTCCGTGGTGCAGGTTTGGTTTCGACGATGCAAATGCTGTATCTGGACTCAGCGTGGCTTCCTGCTTGCTCACAAGGTTCTGTGCTCTCCTCACCGATTTAAGACTCAGAATGTGATGCCCCAGAAATACTGTGCACATGAATGGAAATAGCTTGAATCTTGCCTTGCATATCTGTCCTTGCTCCATCACAGATTCAGTAAACAGGTCCTGAAAGAGGTCATGTGAAAACTATTCGGACTTTTACAAGAGCGTGTCGACTGAATTCTCTTCCAACGCATCAGCTTGCTTTTCTTCCTTTTAGCGAGGTCCTATCGAAGTAAGACTCAGATACATGAGTTGAAGGACACGTATCACTTGAGGTTAGCTAGAACTTTGACTCTCTCAGAAAATGTCAGGGGTTAAGCACAGAGCTAATACTTTTGTTAATGTTGAGCAGAGCACGTATCGGGAACGAAGGGAAGGATGGAAAGCCAAACTACGTCATCCGCCCGTGAGTGCCTCATCACTCTTCAAGCTCAGTTTCAACTCTGTTGTCCAAGACAATCTTGTCAATTGATAGGAAGTGTCGGGTTCCCTTCCTCCTTGAGCAAGAAACAACCCCCGGAGAGAAGAGTATTTCATATCAATGTGGCCCCGATAATTATGCGAGAAGAGTAACGATGGGCGTAGTTGAAGGGACATGGCTCATGCTATAAGCTACCTTAGATCCGTACTGTCTTTGAAAGTGCCTCCAGCCCACTGAGCTTCACAGCTTGCGTGTTGCAGATACACACCTGTTACCAGCCCTGATGTTAAGGGCTACTTCGACCTCGTAGTGAAGGTACTACTCAAGCTTCCCCCAGTACTTGTGCTTTCTGCCTCTCGGCCTACGGAATTCCGAGTACGAACCTGCACCTTCTGTTTCTAGTGTTAAATCGTAGGTCACTGCTTTCCAATCGGAGAGGAAAGCTTATGGTCAATAACCGCCGTGATTGCTTGATACTGGCCCTGCTGCAGATCTACCCTGAAGGAAAGATGACCCAACACATGGCAAAGCTTGGTGTTGGGGATACGCTAGAAGTGAAAGGGTAATGGCTCCACCTCTAGCCCTTCACCTCAGTCTTGCTTCCTTGCAGCACTGACTGTGGATTTCGCCCTTGATCGACCTTATGTCACTTGATGTACTATGCACTGATTTGTCGAGTGCACCGTTCACATTTTGCAGACCCCTTCCCAAGATCCCATACTCTCCCAACATGAAGCGGCATATTGGCATGGTAAAGTGGACGAGGCCCAGAACCTGCTACTGCAGTTGTTTTGCAATTCCTGTTCTCTTCACCCACGTTCTTCGTACGTTGAGCGCAATACTGAAAACGTTGAGAATTTTTCGTGCAGGTAGCAGGAGGGACAGGCATCACTCCTATGTTCCAAGTTATCGACGCCATCCTTTCAAATGAGTCTGATATGACTCAGGTGCCCAACTCCTCCTGTTTGAGCTCGATCGAGCTCACTTTCTTGACAACTTGCTTGCACATAGATCTGCTGCAACTCCTTATTCACCTGTTCATGTGGCCCTGTATTCCAGATTTCTCTTGTTTATGCCAACGTCTCACCAGACGACATTCTCCTCAAAAAGACGCTCGATGATTTGGCTGCTTCTCATCCCAATTTTAAGGTAGGATATGAATCTATACGGACCTCCCACCTGTGGTAGCTTCGTTGCGAGTCTTCTTCACAGACATGTTGGGCTTCAAGTTCTAGAGTGCTATAAAACGTTCTGTCGTCGCCGTCGCCGTCGCCATCACCCTTCATGAGTCTTTGGGGAAAGAGTAGCATTTGCAGTCGTATACATGGCGGAAGAAGCATCAGTAGCTGATGATGTGATAGACATGTAAATGGATGTCGTAAATGAGACGTGGTTCACTGACATGCAGGTTTTCTACGTGGTCAACAACCCAACCGCCAACTGGAAGGGTGGAGTTGGTTTCACCACATATGATACGATCGTCAAAGCTCTCCCGCCACCGTCTGACGATACCCTCATTCTCGTGAGTAGAGCCCACCTTATAAGCATATTGCCTCCGTAATCTTATATGCTATGCTGCTCATATTGTTATCATGATGGTCTGTACTAAACCTTACTGCAAATGTAGTTTATGCAATCTCCCTATGTCGCTAATAGTTTGCTACCTACAAGAAATCATAGTGCACAAGTTTTTTGCATCAACTTGACTAATGACCTTTGGAGATACTAAAGTTATGGGCTTTTCCTACTTCTGCTAGTCTCTGAGCTGCTTGCCTACAAGTGTTAGGTCGATTTGGAAACACTGCTTCTCTCAACTGTCCATGTTCGATTGCAGGTTTGTGGACCTCCTGGAATGATGAAAGCCATCTCTGGCGACAAGGAATCTCCAAAAAATCAAGGAGAGGTCAGTTTACATCCATTTGACCGACTTATTGAAAATCGAGTTATTGAAATCTAAGTGCTTATTCAGGACAACGCCCTTGTTGAGACTCTAGTTCTCACGCCATTCTCGAACCCGATTCTACGACCAAAACAATCAGGTCTAGACTTATGAATCGGAACAGTACAGTACAGTTCAATATTTAATGACTCGTTTACTGTGCTGCTCTTTACAGTTGACGGGACTTCTCAAGAGTGCAGGATACTCCGAACACCAGGTTTTTAAGTTCTAAGATATTCCGGATGCAATCAAACCGGTAGTTCTAGTGCTAAGAGGCACATATATGGTGTAGACGTCTGTTATAGTCTAGTTTGAGCTGCGGGAGTACGCGGGAGAGTGATATACAGATGAACATTAGTTTCTGCATTGTCAAGGTCATGTCTGGAAAGCGAGTGATACTTGAGATTTTTTGACACCGGTACAAGGATAGAATTGCGAGAAATAACAGGATCCATGCCCTTCTGGTCACCTGTTCCAGAAACGCTAAACGTGGAAAACATTGAGAATGTATTATCGCCTGAAAGAGTCGTCAGCATCTGTAACATGTCTGACAACAGGCATGTCTCTGATCCCAGCGCAGTACACATGTAAGTCTGTGGCTCTGCTCCTTGAAATTCAGGAGCTACGATCATGAAACATGTACTTAAAGATCCCCTCAAGATCATTCTAGACATTCCTAGTTCCTGATATTTGGTGAATCATGCGGACTTTTATTCCATGGCGACATGGAGAAGGCAAGAAGTAAAAGTACAATATGTCCCAAAACTGTCAAGTTTCGTACGGAGGTGTACACCTGTGCCGGATGTTGCGATGTCTCACCAGGTGTGGATATTTCTGCTTCATGCGTTGATTCATGTAGACAGGGACAGATGTTGCATGAATCTACAAAATTGCAGCTGAAACCAACTATGGTAATCTTTCTAGGCTACTTCTACGTTACGCAGATATTTGCCAAGCTGACAATCTCATGTAGACTCGATAGCGAGAAAGGTTGTGCATGATTAATAATGAAGAGGGCTTACTTGCTCGAGGGCTTAGCAGGCGCAAAACCGTTTATGGCCGTTTGGGTTAGATCCACCAGCTGCAGCAGTTCTTCCCGGTTTGTTTTCCTGACCTCCCCAGACACCTTGGGGCGGCAACTGCGATGCACAAATCACATTTCTAATTTTTTGAGTGTTCTTTCTTCAAGTGCTTGACCTTCAACAACTCTCCTGATAATGATGCCTGTCATCAAAGATCACCAGTTATTTGTGGTAAATGGGAAAGTGCTCAAATTCCAGACAATGAGTCCGAATGCCTGATGCTCTCATACACAATAATAGTAGACCTGAGTTTAGATCTGAAGTTGTTCGGACCATCGCATACCGTCTTGTCTTGTTTTCACCTTTTGCTGCTTATTTCTTTCCCTGTCGTGTGCTTGTATTTCGGTCTTTTAACCTGGCTTGGATCAATACCGACGTGAAGAGAGGGATGTCGAGGAACTATATACTTACAGGTTTTGGTTTCAAACTCCGGCAGCCTCCAAGCCTGCCGAGCTCCCTCTGCAATGCTTGAACCTCTTTCATCAAAGTGTGTACCATACGCTCAACTACCTTCTGTGCACCGTCAGCAGCTGTCTCGTTTGCGGACTTGGGCTTCAATGCATCCTGAAATCGACCACTCAAAAACGGAACAAGTCGTCGGTAGTTTACGAGTCGGACGCATGAGGTTATTCAAACACTACATTCATGATCTACTTTTGACCAAGAGGCAAATGCCTTGAGATTTTAATTTGTCAAGTACTTTCATCTTAATTTCCTTCTGGTCCTATATACCGTGTGGTCCGGGTCTTCTCCAGGGCTGTAATAACCGTCCACCATCTTGAAAATTATTGGTTCGTAGCTGTTGTCCTGCATATAACAGAGTATGCTCATATCATCAAATCCAAACGAATAGATCAATGATTCTTCGCAAATGAACACTCCAATTCCGCTACTGGAGGGCGTATCGTCAAGTCGCCAAATAAATACTGTGGCGTCGAGATAGATATAGTCTAACAAATAGAGTGACTTAGAAAAAGGCTTGATCATCGTTTTTCTTTCCATAGGACACCTTTTTCAGTGTTCTGATCCATTCTCGGAGGGAAGGAAGTGCAGCAACGAGCTTGGCTGGCTCCATGCCCGATGTATTGGGTGGTACTCGTTTAGCTTCTGCTTTGGCCAGAGCTTCTTGTGTTTCTTGAAGTTGAACCATGGTTTGTTTCTCTATCAGTTGAGCTTCCATGAGTTCATGTTCTTTCTTCACCACCTCCCTGTACCCATATCAAGAGAAGCAAGCAATATGTGAGTGCCATAAAGTAAGAAGCATATATTCAGCTTTTTATTTAATTGGACTTTGGTTCACAGCACCTACTTTGTGAGACGGTTGACCCTGAGTAATGCATCGTCCAGGCTTCTTTGCTGAGTTTCGAACTTCCTGCATGTTAACTTCAGTCGTCCCAACTTAGTCACTTTTCGTGGGGATGATTGTCCTTAGTCATCCTGAATTTCAGTAAATGTAATCCCACGAAGATTTACTCCACGTTGCAAGAAATTTCTTCCCTTATTCCGGTTACAGTATGCTTACGCATAAGCATGTTCCTCTGATATGAGGTACTGGAAATTCATGTCACTCAAAACTTTCAAGGCGGTGGCTCTTTGTAAGCTGCCTCACTCTGATGGGCAGGTTGATTTCCTACCTTTCTTTCTTCTGCAAAAGGAGAAATTCCTTGGTAAGAACCGCTTTCTCCCGCTGAAGCTTGAAAATTTGTTTTTTCATCGACTCGACCTGAATATCAGGTTTCTCAACTGTAACTTGTTACACACTTACCGTACTATGCTTTCGTATACACCATGAATCTGAAAGTTTTAGCCAGGTGTTGAGATCTAGATATAACAAACGTTCAATTGAACATCAAGGTCATCAACTCCAACTCTATCAAAAGGGCATTCTTGAGCGATTTGAAGATAACGTCATTGCCTAAGACGCCGTCGTAAAGAAGTTATATGCAGGTAAGTGCAGTCAACGTCGTTGAAAGGACGGTGTGGTTGACTTACTATCTGCGATTCTCTAGAGCTTTTGGAGTAGAGCATCTGCTGCTGCAAAATCGTCAAAGAGTTTTTCTTTTCAGCGCGAATATGCATCTCATAGCGATCTGACTGGGAGTTCAAACTTGACCAGGTGTTAGTTTCTACTTCTTCAAGCAGAAGAAATTGGCCCGTCCTCGGCTACTTCAAATAGGATATGTGCTCTTCCTGTGTTTTCGTGACGATGGCGTTAACATATAACTGATGATTGTAACGTCGGGAAACGCATCGAACTCACCTCTGGAGTCTTCTCGGAAGTCGACTTTGACTCTGGATCTGACTGTTTAGAGGTTGTTTGCAAGCTCTTCATTTTCATTTTCAGCTCGATCGTCTGCAAGGATGACCTCGACGTGGATTTTTACGAATCCATATTATGATGATAGAAAATTAAGACTTTCCAAGTTGAAGAGGCTGGGCGTAAAGCAGCGCAACCATTTAGTCAATACACAATTAGAAGACATGTTGATTCCAGATAAAGTCAAACTTAGTGTATCAGTTACTTCCTTAATAATGAATGAGTTCGTTCAGCGGACAACTATGTGAGGGTTCAAACAACTCTGAGCGCAGATCTGTCGCGAACTAACTCACCTTAAGTTCATACTCCATGGCACACTCCAGAAGTGCTATTTGCAAATCTTGCACCTGTTTGTTTCGCTGATCTTCTGACAGTTCTGCAGGATTCTGCGTGCAGATAATTACGTGATTCTATACTCCATTGTGAAAGGTCACCCACACAACTGTCAGTTTGGTCAAGTTTAAAGATTCGTATTCATCGATTTGCTTGAGGGATTCAACTAGTGAATTGTCTGCCCTGTTGCAAACGTCATATTGGGTTGCACGTTGCAAAGTGGTGAGTTCATGTGTGCCGATTACGCATCCTGTAACGCTAAAAAATTTATGAGTTCCCCAACAGAGCCAGGGGCAGAAACTACGGACCACGAGAGGAGTAGGTGGCATTGTGGTCAGAGCTGCCAACTTCTTCTCCAGCAATTCATCGTCAATGACAATCGAGTCAAAGATCGCGTCGAAGTTCCCTGTTGACACAAAGCTGTTTCTAAATGCTGGTTCTCCTGAAAATTGCCTTTTGACGTATGAACACTATCTTACGAAACGGCTGCTATCGTATCTGCTGGTGATTTCCTACTTTTCTTGACGGTTCTTCTGATACTTTGGGTGCCTCTAGCTTGACGAGTTTCTGTACAGAAAACTGAGATCACTTTGTTGAAAATGTTAATGCAATTCATTATTATGCGCACAACTTCCGACCAACCTCACCAATGTTCACTCTCGGCAGTGGAGGCACCTCCAACGCTCCATCTTTCGGTTTTATCTGTGTCAGCAACATTCGAGGTTGAACTGCTCTCTCTTGCTCTAGTATGACTGATGTATTGAGCGGTACGTTGAGTTCTTGATTTGCCTTGCAGAGACTCTTTGAGGATAAGGTCTCTTTCTTTCTACTGTGCTTCGTTTCTTTGCGGTGGAAATTCTTCAATTTGGTCTCAACTGTTGGAGCGAACGGGGTGGCATTTGGTGACTCCCCTGCCTCATTTCCTAACAATAGCTCATCTCCTTCACTCCTGAGCACCGGTCTCGCATCCGTATCTTCCGTGCTCCAGCACCTCGGCCCAAGAACATTGTCATTGTAACAGCTCTGGTTGAAGGTACTGCGGAATCCTGGAAAAGATACGAGAGGGAAATCATTCTACAAAAGAAGACTACAGCAGGAAATGACAACTGCCAATGTTCTCTTCAGCACCCTGCTTTCAAAATTGAGCCATGAAACTCTTCAACAAGCTACAATACGTGCTCTCCGACGATTGCACGGGTGTAAACATTTTCGAGTAATCGGAAGAACACATATCAAAACATAGGGAAGAGATTGAATGTGCAGATAGTATGAAGAAGGCTTGGTCGGTTTCAACTCGATCACCTCTCATGTATAAGGTGAGCCGTATTGGTTCGTCCATTTGCTTACCGATGAATAAAACTTTGCATAAACTGTTTTGATTGGGGGCTAAGAAACAGCAGAATAATATACTATGGTAGACTTACCTCCAGTGCGCCCAGTACTTTCTGGGATTTCCTCCGCTTGTCTTGAGTTAACTCGCCCTGCTGGATTATTACCATTGCTAGATTCCATGTACCAATATGTGGCTGTCTTAGTGACGCTTTTCTCAGCATGCGTGTCTTTGTTGGTGATAGATTCCGCTCTTACAATTTGACTAATGGACGACGACCCGATCCCTGCAGCTGGGCATTTGCCAGTGATGGATATTTCAGTGGTAACACCACCGGGACCGTCCTGTATCTGCACTGGACACATGTAATTGCACCCGCCATCTTCGGCAATGCCTTTCTCGCTCAGAGGGCTTTTGATAGCTGGCGAAGATGTCTGCCCGTTCTTCTGCAGACCTGCAGTTCAAAAGTTTCGTCACAATCTGATCTCGGACTTTGTGGCTGAGATGCACCTTGGTGTTTAAAGCTTCCCATGAGAGTTTTCGATCAGGTTCAGCGAGTATCTAGTCCAATCCTAGGGATTACAAGTTTATCACGCGATCAATGCAGATTTGTCAGTGGTTCACACGCAGATCAAGAAACGAAAGGATGATGGCATAATAATGAATTCATTCTCAGAGAACACATGAAAGGTGTGCAACATCTTTTAAGACGACAAGGAGCTAGTAATCTAGTAACATCGTATAAGAACTTTGAGATTATTTTGACACAATCACTCGACTGAGAATATCGACCTGGAAACGCTTGCAGACATTGAATCTGCCGCCGTTGGCGAGACGTAGGCAGGCCGTCGCCACACTCTAGTTGGGACGAATGTCGATTGTACTTATCACAAATTGCTTTGTTAAAACTAGCATCAACTCGTGGTTGCTTTGTTGAGGTTTGTCAATTTCCGTTGTGTAGCGATGCGCACAGGATTCATACCTCTAATCGAACAGGCCGCTGGTGACGAAGTACAGGACTCCACATCTTTCTTCGACATACAAGGCGGAAGGTAGGGTTCTCTCTCTTGTCCGTTGCCCCATGACCGTATCATTTTCTCAACGCCATCAGCAATCTGCTCAATAGCCTTGTAATCCAAGTTTGGAGGTACATTTTCTTCGTCCCTGGGCCTCATATTGTAATTTCCCCAGACGTGTCTAGGTTTGCCTCGCCACTTCGTTTCCTGATACTCTTCATGAGCAAGCTGGGTCATTTTTTCCAATCCACCCTCTCAAGCCGTTGTTGGAGATGTCTTGTCAAACGCTTCAACTAAAGCCAGTGTCTTACCACAGCAATTTTCAATATCCAGGTCTCTCACGTATCATTCGATTTCCTACCAAGTTCTTGCTTGGCTCCAGAATTTGCTCGAGACGCTACAGATGTATCGCGTCCCGTAGCGGCGGATTATCTTCTTGGAAGCGTTTTAGGAGCATCTGATGGTGGGAACAGTTTACTAAGGCTACATTGGTGCACGCAAGAGCTGATTTACCGAATGAGAGAACATATTAACGACGGACGTAAAATTAGCCAGAAGTTCAGCACGCGAATGATGTAGTTGCTCTTCATGTAGCTTGCATTCACGTGCAATCTAATACCTCAGTACACACGGATAGTTTAAAATTTAGTGTACCCCCACTTAAACTCTGAGAAAAGATCGCCCACTACTAGAATTCGTCAACGCTCTTTTCGATGTAAGGCACACCCTTCGCGACCTATGGAGAGACGAGAGATCTCTCCAACTTGAACGTCAGTTCAATGTTCCAACCCAGAATACCCGTATCGCAGAAAATAGATGTGATGTAATATATGGTCGAGATGCCAAAACTCAACGAAATAGTTACGAGGTGCTCTCACTAACGTCCATCGCAACGCATTCAGCCTCTGCGACAGGCACAGTCATCGAGCCCAAGCATTGCGCCACTGCTCGAAGGACGGGACAGGGCCTCGCGTGCTCCTCGCAACGACCCTGGGGCGTTCCGTTCGTCAACTGCGTGCCTCGCGCCGAAGAAACGGACTCCAAACCGGGGAAGCCATGGCGCATGCTGCCGATCGATCGATGCCACCGCAGAATGGGCGCTCGAGCACGAAGCCAATGTAAGGGCACGAATCGCGTCGAGGAATGGAATGGCGGGAGGGAGGCTGGCGGATGTCCGAACGCACGAGGGCCCGAGATTTCGGACCCGAGAGGACCGGTGGCCACCTTCGGCGCGGCGCCGGCGCTGGCGATGGCGAGACGCGGATGGGGGCGTCCAATGAGCGCAAAGCTCTCGAATGCGCGAATGGCAGCGGCCTCGCGGCTTCGTATCTTCTACGGCCCTGCGAAAAACACGGAGCCACCGCAACTCACTCGCCGCAGCTTGAGCTCCAAGACCGACGGCCGGACGGAAAGTAAGACTGACGGACAGACTCGAGAAAGTCTGGTGTACGGATTGGGTTGAACTCGGTTAAGGGAAGGGACGGATGCTGGACGCCGTATAACTCTCCTATCCCGTCGCGGAGCCGACGCAGTTCTGGCTCTAGCCCCGAAGGCAGTGATCACCGTCTGCGGTTACGATACCAACAGACTCCGTCTGCACGCGACTCTTCCTTGGCGCCATCTCTCTCTCTCCCGCGCATGTGCGCTCTTCCTCGTTCCTTTGCCCTCCGCTATTTCTGTATGTTGCGTTTGCTTCCTACACGCGGAGAATCGTTAGACTCGTTGTCTTTGACGCGCATTCTCCTCCACAAAGCTTCACGATGAAGTGCACAAAGTTTCGACTCCCTTGTGTTTACATTGCTTGATTAAGAAGATTTATCCATATTAAATTGCTTCTTAAGGAAAATTAATATCGTATTTTTGGCTTCTCAAATTCACTTACAAATATTATTTACTCTTTGGAATAGCTTAAACCATATATCTTTAATTCCAATTTTTATCCAATGATCATACAAAATATGCCCAAGTCTTTTCCTATAAAATAGAAACATTTTTCTATTTCTTTGCATCAGAAGCGTGCCTAGATATTTACCTCTTTCCATCAACCGAATTCCATATTCTCGCAAAAGTTATTGCTGTTTATGTATTACAACCAGGTTACGTATAGCTAGTTAAATACGTTATAAGTAAAATATAAAGTTTACTGTAGTTCCGATGTTTAGGTTAAAGTCATCGTGCACCCTTGGAATTTTTTCAGAAAACTATAATAAGGCGCAAAACAGGTTTGGGTTTTGGGCCATTGATGCACTAAGTGGACAAGAGGTGCTTACCATTAAGTATTTTATTTGAGGGGTATAAGTTATACCGTATAACTAATTAAATAAATTTAACCAATATAATCATCCCCAGATAAGCATGCAGTATATAGTTTCAGGGTTTGGCAGCAAGAGGTCTAAGTGTGCTTTATATTTAAATGTCATCGAGACTTTACTCATCACAAAGTCGCTCATCTTCGCGCCCGTCTCCGCTCTCTCTCTCTCGACGACTTGATGGGCGAGGGTTTCTCTCCTCACACATTCCACCGAGAGCAATCCTCCTGGTTTGCTGCAGCAGTTGAGTTAAACTCGCATAGCCACTCGTCCACGTCCTCCCTTCAGTCACCTTTAAACTTCCGGTACTTCAACCGAGAAGTGCTTTTGGCCATGCTGTGAACTTCGTCCGGAGAACTTCCGCAATTCGGTACCAAAGGTTGACCACCTCCAAGTGGAACTGCCCCTCCTTCGGTTGTGATCAGTTCTTCCGGTTCGGCTCCACCAAGATCCACTATGATGGAAACAAAAGACAGATCCTCCCATTCTTTGTCACTTCTCTTCTTTCGGCTGGATCTTCGTGGACCGTCACTTTCCTGTTTATGTTGTTTCATACAGCCGTGAATACAACTCACTTCTGTACTACAAATATTTTGCGCAGGCTTCTAACAAGTCTAGAAATAAATCAAATAGGTTCCGGGCAGCGGCGCCAAAAATCACATGTAGCAATCTTGCGGATCAGAAATCCTCGGGTTTGCATCTAATTTAAGTTAAATGCGCTCCCCAGTAAACCGCTCCAACTTCGTTCCCACGAAGACCTACAGTTTACTTCTAAACCTAATAGAGCCTATCCTACAATTTTTGGAAATTGTACCTTCCAGATTTGGACCAGAGCGATCCGGATCAGAGTGATGGAACTTTCTCGTCAGATTTTTAAACAAGTGGCTGGAACCACTGAACGCTTTATTTAGAGTGGCCGGTTTCTCCACTGACCGACATTTTTAAGTGACCTGACTATCAATGCCTTGTATTATTCCACATAACTGTACATCCACTAACCTCTAACCTGCCACCTGGTAGTTTGTTAGTTGCGTCTGACTTCTTCTCCCAGCGCCCAAGTGTTACTCCGACACAGATACGGTCACGTAGAGTTTCTCTAGACTACAACAACATTGCAACTAAACTGCACATAACCTACTTAATGAATCCTGAGGATTTTGTCCAGGTTTACCTTCCAGACCTACTCATAGGCTTTTCGAGGGAGGAATTCTCGCCTTAGCTCAGAATTCAGACAACGATCACTCGTACTGTAAAGATCACAAGGAACACCTTGTTACACGTCTCCTCCCCTCCATGCTACTTGGGCCACAAAAAATCTCAGGTTCTTCTGCCTGCACCCGCCTCCAACAGCTGAAGTGATCTCGTACTATAGGTTCCAATAGATTCTTCCCGGAAATGAGCAACGAGAGTATACACCAAGTAGAAAAAAATGCAACAGTCACCCACAATGGATCTTGCCACTAGACGCGTCGTGCCTTGCAAAGAAACAATTTTCTTTTCTGATGGGAAAGCACACAAACCTCACGGAAAACAAGATACTAAGCTACTAAGCGTCTTGGCTTTAAGTACTAACTCCTACATAATCTTTGTCCTCGCTGAAAAATCTCAGAGATCTCAGACCTGAACCCATGGCGACCCCAAATCCTAATCTCCCAGCTCCAAACTCTATTTTTGACTTCTGGCGGAATATCTTGGTTTCGGTGGATGGGGCAAAAACATCCACTAAGGAAGCTTCTTGGGACTCTTCCTCCCTTCTCAGCAGTCTGTTTTTTGTTGTACCCGTCTCCGAAGTTTCGATCACCTTCTCCAGGTTGTATATTGTCCTTTAGCCACTTTTTTAGTTCAAAGAACTCGGTGCGACACCTAACCCCTAAACTGCATTGCACAAATCTAATTCTAGCATAAACCTACCTAGCATAGTACTTATTTATTACTTTTGTCCGGTTTGTTGGTACAAAACCGGGATTATGTGGGAGCTGGTTCCCACATATAAAACATGGGTTTAGGGTTTAGGGTTTAGTGATTTCCGTGAAACTCACCTGTCGCGGTTGGTCTGATCTCACTTCCGCTGCTACTTCTCGGGATTCTGTTTCCACCGAGTCCATGGAAGAAGTTTCACATAAAGAAGAGGGTTAGATGATCAAAGATCTACCTTAGATTGGGGTTTCATGTCTTGCTATCCCCATGTCTTGGTTCTATCTTGTGCATTGGAGCGGGGATGGGAGCAAAAAACGAGCGAGTCACGGTCGTGAGGAAGATGTGCGAAACCATTAGATGGGCTCGGAGAAGGGTGTCGCAAAAAGTTTTGTAGCGCGATGCGCACATATAATACAACTTTATATTCGATTTCGACTCGGCTTTAAGGATTGATTGTTGCGAAAGCTACAATCAATATCAAGGCAGAGCGGAGGGTCAGGTGGATTAGAAACTTGGTTACTCCCTTCTTTTTCATCGTCTGCTTTCAGAGCACAGGAGTGACAGAGGAAGCATACATCGAGATAGGTTAATAGGTTTTCTGATGCTTATACGAGATTGTAAGAGGAGGAGTTGCTGCATCGCCACTGGGAGGGAAATCAAGATCGACAAGGAATGAATTTGATACAGTTTTTTTTTTTGCGAAGTTGAAATTCTTAGCAAGGGATGGAGTGACGCACATCTGCAAAGCAAACTTCATAACCAGTAGAACACATTTCGATAAGTCGATATCGTAGACAGGTGGTGCGGTTTCTTGACGGGCTGTTTCTTGGGGATTTACGAACGGAAAGGAGGAGACAGAAAAACCAAATTACACGTTTTCTTTAAGCTACCGTCGTACTGTTTCTTCGGGATCTGCGGGCGGAAAGGAGAAGACAGTGACGATGGTGTCTCAAAAAGAAATCCTCAAGCTGGTTCAAACCATCTTGAACGACCTTGACAAACTTCGCCAAGAATTTAAGGTACAAACAGTACAACTCACTCTTGGTCACACTGAGATACGGCAGTTGAAAGCCTCACAGGAAGCGATGAGATTGGAAATTTAGGAGAACTCTAGGGTAACCCTTCACATTTCCGAAACCCTCATTGATGTTCAGACTAAAATCACGTCACTAGCTACTGTTACTAGCAGTCCAGGTTTACACGAAGTAGTAGACACTCTAGATTTGAAACTCAAATCATATGCAGAGGCCACTAAGGTTGCGCATATTTCATTCTGCCAAGAACAAGAAGTAGAAAGTGCAAACCAATATTCCCGTAGAAATAATGTCAAGATATCTGGTTTACCAGAAGCAGAAGACGAAGATGTGAACAATGTTGTCACTAAATTCTTAGTTGACACACTACATGTTCACACTCCAGATCTAGTTCAGGCTTTTCGGATTGGAAAAACTAGCACAAAATCACGGGCCATCATAGCCAAGTTTGTCAACCAGTCTCAAAGATACACTGCCATGGCAAACTAATCTATCCTCAAAGGACAGAGAATATGGTTGGATCCCGACCTTACGCCTTTGCAAGTAGAAGTTAGAAGGAAAGAACTCGAGAAGGTCAAGGAGGCTCAATTGTTAGGTTTCGTTGCTTATTTACGTGATGGAAGAGCGATAGTCGCACAGAAGAGAAGAGAGTTGTCTACATAGCAAATCAAGGAGTTGATGGTGTTGGTGTGGAATATCCGAGGATTGTCAACTTCAAAGTACGTGAGTGGCGATCCAATCTGGGAGATGGGAGACATCATCAACATCGTGGAGACTTGAGAACACGAAAGCAACACCATAGCTGAACTGCAAGGATTTACTTTGGTGTGGTCAACATGGAACCAGAGAAGACAACACGCGGGGAGGGGACATGGAGGTATTGCAACTTTTATCAGATTCAAACTTCTATCTGTCATTCATTTGGAAGCTCGAGATATTGGAGGTCAATACCATTGGTTACGTCTTATGCTTGGAGGATCTCATTACTATCTAGCAATCAGTTACTTTGCGCCATTAGCCATGCCA